AGGACTGCACATGGTCCACAATGTTACAGTGTAAAACTCCTGTCTGAGGAGAAGCACCTGGGCATTCCCACCTGAATGTGTTGAACCCATTGAACTTTAGGTTCAGGGATTTCCTGTACCCCCTGATGGATCAAAACTGTTACCGTCATTTCAACCATCACTGGACATGTAAACTGCAACAATCACATCTCATAGGGTGGTGGTATCTTTCGTCTTCGCTATCTGCTCTTATCCCTTCTTTTTATTTTCCTTGTATATTTTCTCAAGTGTAATCATTATACTTTCATATTGCTATATTTCTATAGATAATAACCAAATCTGCTACATACTTCCTTTCCATTTTAACCAATTCCAAGATCAACCTGTTACCTACCTACCTACCTACCTACCTACATTTTTATTTGTAAAACCCCCACCATTCATTCAGTGTTGTGTCACTGTAGTCTGCCCTGATGGATCTATTAACAAGAACCTCACTTAACCTGCCTCAGGGACAGGTTGTAACATTGCTGACCCTAACATGGCAGATTTGTTTTTGAAAACTAATTCTCAATTTTCTGATTCATGTGGTGCATTGAGTTCACAGCTTGAGTGAACTCTCTTTGAAATTCTATTAACTTTATGTAATGCTGACCTGTTCTGATAGGCAATGCAGCCCTTTCACCCTAGTTTCTTACTGCATATTGTTGTACCTAGCTGGGTGCTTGACAATAGAATATTCTTTATCAGAAAATTTTAAAGCCTTGAGGTTCCTCTAAAAATGGAACTCAAATATTGAAGTGACATTGTAGCGTACATGCATTTATAGATTTAATTAGTTTTCCATGATGAAATCTAGTGTACCTATACCCTGATTGTACATATTACATAGCTAATTCTGGGAGCACCTTTTTTATCTATTAAAACGTTACCCTCTTCCTGTATATACCTAGAGTTCTGATTTCATGCTATCCATTAGAGGTTTGAAGAACAGCATTTCACAGCATATTGAATGTCAAGGTAGTCTATGCCAGAGAGAAGACAACTGACATCTCAACAAATTTCTGACATTTTAGAAGAAAATGTAATGCAATATTGACAGCAACTGTAACTTGCTAACTTCCTAACCAGTCAATAAGTTTCATTATGTACATTACAAGGTAGTTGCTTGAATAGATGGGGTTATTTGTCAGTGTGATACTGAACAGTACATGTTTTCAAGATCTGTTCTCACAGAGATACTTGGACTTCATATCAATAATTTTTTCTTAAGAAAATTTGATACAGAAAGGAACACTTGTCAAATACTAAGAAAATATAAAAATTACTTTTAAAAATGGTCTGAGGCCATTTCTAACCTTTTGTGCTAGGTCTTCAAGCATGAGAAAATCTTAGATGTGTCATTGTGTTCTGTGTATGTTTACATGCTGTTAAACTTCGATTATAACTAGACTAGCATATATTTTGTTACTTCACTAATCCATGAAGAATAATAATGATTAAGTCTAGTTGGAAGCAAGTTCTTTCATAAAAGTGGAAGCCCATCCTATGTGATCTCTGGCATCACTTCCTAAATTGCAGACTAGAAGTTGAAGCCAATCTGTCTGCCCTTTGAAATAATCTTACTGCCTGCCAATAAGCCTTCTGCTGTACTGCTGAATTTTTCCCTATTGTTACTTTAAAATGTATGTAGACTTTAAACAGCAGTTAAAGTTTACTGATTCATTTTCATGATGAGAAGTTGAAGATAAGCCATACGAATTGATTGTCCTTTTGTTTCAGAGACCTAAGTCCATGACTGTTGAAAAAACACCAAAAAAGTCCATTTTCTCACAGTTCCCAAGGCTGTGAAAAATACAAAATATCTGAAAAATTTGAAGGAAATGTAGGAAGGGAATTTTACTTGAGATTGTAATCTCAGACTGAATTTTAACTGTGCTCCTGTCTTGGGAGACACTTTAGAAAATCTTATTTAACAGAAGTTATGTGAGTAGGGCTCCTTCTTACAGCTGAACCAAGTGCAAATATGCAAGATGAATAGGATAGGCACACAAAAGTAGGGTTAGCTAGGGTTTTCCTTTCAGGGTGCAGGTTAGAAAAGGCAAACTTGAAAGCTAATTCAGAGAAGACTGTAAACCTGATAAAATATCTCAGAAAAAAACAGAGATTCTCTAACCCTAAACTGTAGGCAATAGACACTTGACTTTTGATTTAAATTTTGTTGGGAATTTAACATTTACATTTAATTTAACATTCTGTGTTAAAGCCCTGCAATGTCTTGATACTGCCAAGACTGACCATCATGGCCTCTCCTGGGTTTATTTCCCTTGAACCATGAGGCCCATAACCCAAACTTTGTTTTGCTTATCCTAGTGACTGTTCTAAAGACCCTCGATTGAAGACTAGCTGACATTCTTTTAAAGCACATCAGGAGGAAGACTCAATAAAGGCTGAAGATTTGCTGGTCTGGTTATTAAACCTATGTTTGTCATCTATGTGGAACATCTGGTGTAATCTTGCATGTAAGTAGGAGCTAATTCTTGTTAAATTTGGATAATATTAGTAGTGCTGAAATTTCTTGTGTAACACCATTAGTTGTCAAGGTAGTATTAGACTTTTCGAACAAGATCTTTGAGCAGAAAGATTATGTGGGAGGGGTTTTTTGTGTGTGGTTTTGTTCTGTTTTTTGTATCATTTGTTTTGGTTTGGGTTTTGGGTTTTTCTTTTGGTTGGTTTGTTTTGTTTTGGTTTTTTTTCTTTTTTTTTTCCTGTGTTCTTTGCCCCCTGCAGAGCAATCTATTTTCCCTCACCCTCTTCTCCACCTTGAGCATATCTCTCCTGACCTACTGGTTATTAGTGACACATCTGTGGCAGTTTTGATCCAGTGCTTCCTCCAAGAGGAAATAATGGTATTATCTTCCTTTCTTGAGAGGAGTGTTGAGCCTTTGTTTAATGTTGCTCTTTTTCATTACACAGACACAGCTTGTTCCAGCTCCTAAATTAACAATCAGGTATCTGCAAAACCCTTTAGTCTAGTCCTGTGCTTTTAATTGAGTAATAGCTGCCATTCTTGTTTGCTAATACATAAGGATTATTTAATTGCTCATATTTTGTCAGAGGTTTCTTTAACTCCTGATTGATTTGCCAGGATTGTGATATCAGCTGTTTACACTCATGACTACAGAGAATGATTGATGACTTATGTTATTTTCTGAAATTATTTTCAGATGTTACTTCATATCAGAGGAAGCTTAGGCAAAGTCTCTGTGATCTTGCCTTTGTATTCCACTAAATTGAACTAGGGACTAAAATGAAGATAGTATGTTAATGTAACACACTTTTTAATTTATTGTGATGATATGTCATAGCTTTTTATGCCCTCTTTTCTAAGAAGATGTTTTACATTGTAAGAGTATCTCTTTCTTTCACAGCAACTGTGCTAACTCAAATAACAAGCTTTATTTCTTGATCACAATTTTTAAAGTTACCTATTGCCTGAGAGCCTAGAATAGCTCTAGATAACTTCATATATCTAAGATTTAAAATCCATAACCACACAGATACCACTTTAGGTGTTTACTTTGGAACATTTGGTGTACTTTATAATAGCTGTCATGGATTAACATTATGATTTTCATAAATTCATTAGTCTTGAAGCACAAGTGGGAGGAGAGAAGCTTTTCAGCAAAAGAAAGCCTAAAAAATGGGTTTTACTGCGAATCTATTTCCAAAGATTTGCAATATGATATTTTTAATCAACATCTCCTCCTGTATCAGATGACGGTTTTGGGGTTTGATTTTTTTTTTCTGCAGAATCTCAGATTATAGAATAGTTGTGCATCTAGAACATCTTCTCTTTCTATATAAATTATGTTTTAGAAGTGAGAGCTGCATTCAATTGACTAAAAGGAATTGACTGATTTACTAAAGATAATTATATAAAATTATGTGACATAACTTCATTTTCATAAGTTCTTGTTTGTGTGTTTAACTTGCATTTAATATTGCCAAGCTAATTACATAACAAAAAGAAGATTCAGTATGTGTTTAAAAAGAAGGAAGCTGGTATGTATTTGTGAAATACTTTTTAAAAGAAAAAAAAAAAAAAAAGGAAAAAAAGAGGTAGGATGTCTCAAAAGAGACAGGATATTTAAACCGTGTTAGTTCCAGACAGCAATTTTCAATTTCATTGCTTTTTTTTAACTTTTGGTATCTAAAGCTGAAAAAAATCTCTTGAACATTGTGACAAAGGCAGATTAATAGCAGAATAGCGTCAAATACACCATTTTCAAGAGAGTAATTGAGAATGATCCAGATAGCCAACAGTAAATGGCTCTGATGGCAAAGCTGGGAAAAATGGAAAAAACTGATTCAGAATTTCAGTGGGAAAACCCAAAGCACAGTAGTAGAACTAAAGATTATTAAATGCATTGTTTTAGTTCTTTATAGAGAACATACTCTTGCATGACAAACTTAATTTCCTTAGTGAGGGAGCTTACATATTTATTTTATGTAATAATTTTTATTTTTTTCTGAAGATTTAATGAAGGTAGGTTATTTATATAGAAGATCTAGGTGAATTAACAATATACTTAGCTCTTATCTGTTTTTTATGGATTTCTTGGAAGAAATAATGGGGCCAAGGATATGGCCAAATATTGTGGATACAATAAGCTTGTTATAGCATTTCATTTAGTAGCATCTGATAAAATTATTCCTGCGTAGTATCAGTAAGTGTTTAATGATTAAGACCTGACCAAATGTACAGATAAGGGATCATGTTGGAGAGATGCCCTATGGGTTTTTCATCAAATTAATATATTTTCCTATCAGTTGGTTCTCTCTGAGGATGTGAAGATAAAAATCTGTTGGCATCATTAGCTAATCTTAGTGTTTTCAGACTATTCAGTAACAACAGAGGCATTAATATGGAACAGAGCAGGTTGAAAATAAATTCTGACATGGTGACTTCTAATTTAAATATCTGACAAAAAGATACATAGGTCATCTAAGAAAGAAAATAAAAGGAAGGAAAGATTTGTTCTGGAAAATCAGAGTTTCTTTTATAGTCAACAAGCCTTCCTGACATAATGCTGAGGCAAAGGGGCTAATGTGGTTTTTGACAGAGTAATTGGAGATAGTTACATAAAATCGGATGATTCATCTCATGTGACCTCTACACTCAGTACTGTCTGACATTAGAGAATTACATTTTTTGCATCTTTTATGAAACTGTAGATTATGAAGGGTGAATATTTGGAATTAATTCCTTCAACTGAGAATTTACTTTACATCAGTCTTTCCCATTTACCAGAAAAAAAAACAGAATCACAGAACATTTCTTGAGCTCTGTCAAGCTTGTTCAGGAGTTCAGTTGATTATCTTGTGGGGTACACTACAACAACAGAGCAGTACTTGATAAGCAGCAGATTTGAGTTGAGAAGGGAGTATAATATGCTTTGGGTAGAATATGGAGCTGGATGTGTTTTGGAATTTTTTTATGTTCAGGCTACTGAATGATGGAATATGGTGAGTTTGAACTCTTCCTTTTGTCTTCAGAAGACATTTTTGGTAGATATTTACTGAAACCCAAGTCACTGAGCTCAAGGCATAGTGAGAAAAGGGTAAGTGTAATGACTCATCATCTGTAGAAGACTGGACAAAATCTGACGGCTCCTCAGTCTGCATGCTATGGATTTTCATATCTGAGTCACACATCTATTTAAGTTCATTAGCTTCAGTCTGTGCCTTGATATTTAAGGGGTGATGGGAAGCAGTTGCTTTTTCATTCCTCTCTTGATTTTTGAGGCAACTAAAGAAAACAACATTAGTTACTTTTTGTTCTTCAGTCAAATCCCAGTGTTAATGGCAAACAGGGGTCACATTTTGAGTTGCCATGGCATGACTACTTCTGCGGATAATGGAAATCATCTCTGTTCTGCCTAGTAGTCTGGTGAAGGAGGGTAAGGTATATCTCTGGTATGCTGCAGTTAGTTGCTTTGCCTGGGGTTGAGGCAGAGAGTAGGACACATAGAAGCATGATCTGGTGGCTTATATGAATTATAGTAATACAGATGCTAATTTAAGGCAGTCTAAAGCTGTGTACTCCTGCTTTCTGTGAACTTTTTACACTTTATAGCTGATTTGAAATCACTTCAAGGTTCTCTGAAACTAGTGGTGACTGAGAGAGAAGCTTCTGGCAATCATTCGTGAGCTTTCTTGCTGAACAGAGGAAGAACTGACCTTGATAATTCTAGGCAGACTCCAAAGGTGAATAAAAGGCACAATGTAATGTATTTATATGTCTGCAAACCCTTTTTTTCCCCCCCTTTTTTTTTACCTGAGCACTTATTCATGTGAGGATCTGGCCTTGTGAGTGACTAACACTGGTTGCGTGATTTCAAAAGATATTTGCAGTGCTAACTTTTAAAGTTAATTTCATAAAAAGCAGTACTTCTGAGTCCTTTAGCTGATTTTATATTCAATTACTAGTGAGGAAATAAGTAGTGGGATCATTAGTTTGTTTTTTATAATGAATTGCAGCATTTTGATTTCCTGTGAGAGTCTGTGAATAATAATTTATCCTTTTTATATTGAGATCTATGAAAAATATTTTGGGATACTAAAAAATTCCTGTTATTTCTTATGTTTAATAAGTTTTGAATATTCGTGTGCCACTTCAGATGCTTGATAATTTATGACCCAGCAGAGGTCAGCCTTGTGGCATTTTCCAAAACTTACGTTCAAAGAAATGAAGTAGAGCTAAAGTTCTTACTATAAGTCCTTGGGATTTTGTTTTATAAAATACATTCCTTTTAATTAGAGCTCATGTGATATTCCTGTATTGTAGCTAGATGTGTGACTTAAGGATCTCAGTCAAACTTCTATTTAGGTAGTAGGGATGTTAATAGTTCTATAAAATTGTTACAAATAGTTTCAAATGTTAGTCTTTTTGGTATTCACAGCATTTTTCTTTTGTGATGCTTAAAAAACTGAAAGTTAAGGAATTGAGGGAAGACAGTGTTCGTACCCTACTCCAGCTCAAAAACACCAATGATTTGTTTACATTGTAAAATGCTATTCCCATTTTGTATCTCAATGATCAGTGATGGTTTCCTTAATACTAATAAGGGTCTAATTTTTTATAAACTTGATGACTCAGATCATAATCCTCCTCAAGTACAGTGGCTGTCTTGTCTAAAATTGGATTACTGGCTTGTAAATTCAGTTTCAATTGGCAATCTCAGGAGTGCCTGATTTAATTGTTCTTTGTTCTGCTTCAGCATAATCTCTGTACCTCAAACTAACACCTAAGTAGTTTTATCCAGGTAGACAGTAGAAGTGATCATGCTATAACACCATTGTCAAGGCTGGAGCTGAGTCTTCTGAAACAGAAGATGATTAAATAACTTGAGCACAACATTGGGAACTGGGAAAACATGTTGCCTTTTGTTTAGCCAGTTCACTTTCTGAACTGCTCAATGACTTTTTACTCCTTTATTGTTACTACATTCTTTGTCTACTCTGAAGTTGGTTTTCAGACATTAAAAACCCTGCGATGAGAACAATATCTTGGCATTGGAGTGGCTGATAATATATCCTGTGAATTTTGCAGCAGCTAGCTGGTATGTGAAAATCAGTTGCGTGAAAAACACTCTGCTTTTTAGTGGTTGCTTTTCTTTAAAAAGCTCTTCTATTCTTCTGGGGTTTTTTTGGGGGTTTTTTTGGTTTTTTTGTTTTTTTGGTTTTTTTAATTTGCCATGAGGGAGTCAAGGTCAGCTTGGAGCAAGAGCAGCTACTATGTTTATCTTCTGCAAAAGCTGGTTACAAGCTACCCAAAAACTGTCAATCAGAGTATTATCTTACAAAAATCTTCTCCAATTAGGAGAGAAAGTAAGAATTTTCAAATGAAAGACTTCATGAGTCTGCTCTAACGAGAATTCTGGAATACATTCTTTTTTGAATGTGCTATTTGCTGGAGGTTAGAAAACCAAAGTATTAAGAGAAAGAATCCTGTTTAATGTTAATCAGCAATAGTGATGTTGTTCTTGTGCCTGTCCACTCTATTGAAATGAAAATAGTGTTGAATACTACAGCATTCAATTTTGAATTCCACAGTAGCCTGTGCACTTTACAGTATGTGCTTTTGAAATTAAGTCCTACCCTAATGAGCATGCAAAAGAAAGGATATTGTGAAATAATTTTGCATGAATAACTATCATTTTATGTGCTTCCTAGTAGTTTAATATATTGTATTTTGTCCCTAGCAGAATGACTGTTGCCCAGTATTTTTGTTGTTATATAGAGATATTCTTCAACTTAATAAGCCTTCCTTTAGCAAAAAGAAATGGAAGTAGGTACAGGAGCAGGTGCTCAGAACTGACTTAGCTTGGGTCCAGGTGAACTAAAATTAACACAATTAAACTTGGATTGTCTAAGCAGAAAAGCACTGAGACATTTGCACCATGCTGCCCTCCTCACCTTTGCAGAAATGCCTGGTATGTTTTGGAGTGAGAGGCCTGCTTCTCAAGATGTCACACCAGTGTGTAAGCCTCAGCTAGCAACCTCTTCAATCTGCATCCAGAAAGGCTGTACAAACTTACCTCATCCATACACTTACTTCAAACAAGAAATTTGTGTGAATGGAAATACACAGCTATTCTTAGGTTCTTTTGGGATGCTGTCAACCAAGCATATCCTAAACCTTCAAAGGATTCTAATGCCTTTACCCAGTATGTGTTTCTGAATTTCTGCACATAGAATTAAACAGAGAAAACATGAACCCATTTCTCTTCTTAGCATCAGAGCATGGTAGATTGTGAGACAGATAAACAAAATGGCGATTTTTCTGGCAAAATTCAGTTTCTTTTTTCATACTTTGGGGCAAGAAGAGGGTGTGGTTGATTGACCCTGCCTGGTTGGCAGGTGCCCACCACAGCTGCTCTGTTTCTCTATTTTCCCTACTGGGCAGGACAGAGAACATATAACAAAAGGCTCATGGATCAAGATAAGGCTAGGGACAGATAACGCACAAATTACTGCCATGGGCAAAAGAGTCTTGACCCCAAAAAATTAATTTATTACCAATCAAATAAAAGTAGGAGAATGAGAAAAAGAAAACCCAAATCTGAAAACACCTTGCCCCCATCCCTCCCTTTTTTCTATACTCAACTTTACTCCTAAATTTTCTACCCTAAAATCCGAATTTTGGTGCAAGGGGATAGGCAATAGGGGTTGCACTTAGTTTATCATGTTACCTGTGGTACTCCTTCTTCTCCTCACTCTTTCCCTGCTTCTTCATGGGGCTCGACACTTGGGAAACAGTCCTCCATGAACTTCTCTAGTGTGGGTTTCTCCTGTGGGGAAATAGTATTCCACTAGCTGCTCTGGTGTGTGTCCCTGCCACAAGGTCCAATTCTGTAGGAAAAGCCTGCTTCACCATGGCTCCTCCACAAATCCTGCCAGCAGACCTGTTGCAGAGTGGGCTCCTCTCTCTGTGATGCCACAGGTCCTGCCAGGATCCTACTCCCATTCACAGCCTCCTTTCAGCATCCACCTGCTCTGGAGTGGGGTCCTCCAGGAGCTGCAGGTTCATATTGGGTTGTGTTTTTTCTGCAGCCAGCTAATTTGTGATGATGTGCAGCTGCTTATCATGCTGCTCACTTTCTTACAGTGTTTTCACTTCCTTAGGAAAGGAAAATGAAGGAGTTAAGGTTTGAGCTAGACATCCTGTTTCACTGCCTGATTTCTCCAACTCTTCGGCATACTTGCTTGTGCTTGATTATAGTCATAGTATTTGCAAAATATTAACTGATATAAAACAATTTATGATTCATTGTAGATTACCTGTATGCTTATTTTACAAATATTTAAGAGCATAAATAAAAATTTTGGCAGGTTTTACCTCCTTTCATGTCGGGAAATTGAACCAAAGGAAAAAAAGACTTTTAGTGCATTTCAATGTCAAATGTGCAAGGAAAGACAAAAATAGATTTGGTTTGTAATATCAGAAGACATTTTCTTTCTATAGAGCTTTATTTAATAAAATTCAAATCTATTCAATTTTTAAAAAAAAAAACAACTTTGCAATATTGAAAAACTGGTGTTACCTGTCTTCCATTAAGAAAATATCTTTGTTTAGACTCTTGATTCTGTGCTGGATTAAAATATTCTTATATATAATATCAGTTTTGCAATATTGGCATAAAATATTGTTTTTTCCCTTGCTACCTTAAATTCAATTGGAAGTCAAGCTTACACTCTCAGGGCAAAATACTGCAATCCTCTTTTGTACTTTTCACCTGACTTTGTTAATATTTTTCAGATTCCTGTTAATGGGAAAATTATTGTCTGAAACCATTAAAATGAAATGTATGAGTTGGAATTACTGAGAAAGCTTGGCAGGCTAATTATTCTTATTGAAGATGGGAATCACAATATGCAAGCATGGAACTGTCTCCTCATCATAAATATATGAAATACATGTTTAGGAAAAAGGAAATTTCAGAGGGTATCTGACCAGAAATTTTTGTTGAACACATTAATTAGAATATAAATTTATAGATAATTGCCTTTGGTATAATTTAGATGAGCTTACTTGTATATTTAGCTTGCAAAAAGCTTAGCAAAAATGACAGTTATTTAAGTAAAGAAAATGATAGTTGTACATGACTTATAAATAAAATTCTGCCATCTCTGAAAGAGTATTACAATGAGTTGCAAACTTAGAAATATAACTAGAATAAAAATGAAAGATCTGAAAATAAATTTTGTATTCTGAAATTCTTTCTGATTCTCAGTATTTATTTATTCAAGAAGTGCTGTGACAGATGTGTAGAAAAATATTTTGTTCCATTTAGGGAAAAACCAACCTGACACGGAAAACATAAGAGGGGCACCCAGCCACTAAATAACTGAGGGAAAGTTAAAAAAACACCAAACCCAAACAATGCTAACCATAGTATTGCAGAATTTAATTGCATGGCATTCACATTTTTTTCTGATGATAATATATCAGACACTTAGATATGTTCTGTTATCAGAATAAGGACCAGACTCTGTGTATGACCTCTACAATTCCAGCTCCTAACTTGCTTCTCATTAATCAAATCCTGTAAATATGATTCTGTGATTTTGATTGCCTACAGGAGTAGGCAATCAAAACAGGACCTTGTGAGTGTTAACTTGAAACTTTGCTCAAGACCATAGGTCAACAGCTGGAGAAGGGCTTAGAAAGTCCTGTGAGAAGCAGCTGAGAGAGCTGGGGACTTTTATCCCAGAGAAAAGGAGAACTGGGGAGACCTTATGGCTCTCTATAGCTGCCTGAAAGGGGGTTGTGGCCAGGTGAAGGTCAGGCTCTTCCCAGGCAACAATTGCCAGAATGGGAGGGCACAGCCTCAAGCTGGGTCGGGAGTTGTTAAGAATGGACATAAGGAAGAACTTCTTCCTTGGAAGGACTGCCAAGCATTGGAATAAGCTGCCTAGGAAGGTGATGGAGCCACCATGGCTAAAAGTGTTCAAGAAGTGACTGGACATGGCATTCAGTGCTGTGTTCTAGCTGAGAATGTGGTGTTTTGGGGTTGTGTTGTAGCTGACAGTGTGGTGTTTGGCCAGAGGTTGCACTCAATGGTTTTGGAGATCTTTTCCATCATTATTTTTTCTGTGGCTATGCAGTTTGGAAGAATAAGTGAAACTGTTGAGATTTATGCAAAGAGAGGATGGGAGGAAAACAAGTGCTTGTAGAAAAGTGAGGCATGAGAGTATGTATTATTTGGACCAAATCAGTGGAGTCAAATTGGAAGGAGCTGAGCCTTTTCTAGCTGTCAAGATGTCTGTTATGTGTGAATTCTCTGTCACTGTTAGTATTTAATATGGTTTCATTCAGCTTTATACATGAACATATGAACAACAGAAATTAAAATAATACACAAGAGAGTAATCAAAAAATTCAGTAATGAGACTAGCTGAGTTTGATATTCTCTTAATGAATATTAAACTAAGAGAAAACCTGCAAAGCAGAGATGTATACCCGTGGGTAGCTAGGGATTTATCAGGGAAGAGGAAAGCCTATTATCTTTTACTTCTTTTCATAGGTCTCTTTGAAGGCCAGCAGTTGGCTGGGTTGTTTTCTACTGGGAACATATTTCTGTCTTTGCCAAAATGAAATATAAAACTGTGGGAGGAAAAAGGTATCCAACAGTTCTTTGTGAAGAACTGCTGAAAGCTAACATGTGCTCAGGAGGCATCTTTCATGTAACTTTTTAAAGGACTGCTAATTTGCAATAAACAATAATAGAACCATGTGGGTGTTCTGTTACCCCTGCAAGTTTACTTGAAGAGAGATACAGAAAAACTATCAAGCATTTTCAGGAACAAAACTGAAGCTATGAATGGTTCTGTGTTACCTGTTAGGATTAAAGGCGTATCTCCACTGTTTCAACCTTTCCAGTATCGCATGCATTTTCCTATCTAAAGAATATGAGGGAAGTTGAAATAGTATGCCATCATGAGTGCTTTTAGTCATTTAAGTACTTACCTTCCTATATATTGCAGAAAATGCTTTCTGTAAGAATGCTTGCTCTGCAATACTGTGCTGCAATTTAAATTGTGTTTGATTGCTGTGGGTTTCAAGAAAGAGATTTATGGGTAGTCTGCATCTGCATTGCCTCCATGAGCAGAGATATCTTTCTATCTTGGATACCATTTTAGAACTCTTCATAGCAGATTGTCTTAAAAGCTTAACAGGTGCTAATTGTTATCTTGTTGTTGTGAAATCTTTTTTGGAAGATACAAACTGGTGGGTTAAATTAGGAACTTTTTCAGCACTTGTATTTTATAGTCACCTATTGGTATCTATGGGGAACATTTTGCTGTTACTCTATAGCTGCCTAACAAATGTGTGGAGAATAGGTATGCTATCATGTAGGTGATGCGTAGCAGGTTTTGTGCTCCTGGAGCCCTGATCAGGGCATTGTCTTTGCCTAAAAGGTATAAGGATTCTGTATATATATATATATGCAGGATACAGCTATAAGGATTCTGTATATATATATATAAAATCTCTCATAATTATAACTAATGATTACAAATTCTTGTAAAAAACAAAAAATCAGTCCAAAACCTGCCATTCTTTTGCAGAGAATGTATGAGAATGATGTTTTATTACAGGTAGAAGTTCAAACTATATGACAATGTCAGCAATTTTTGTTCCATTTTTTATCAAAGAAGTATCACTAGGATGATCTGTATATGAATAGCAAACTGCACAGAATTTGTTCATATGTTTTTTTTCTTTCAAATATACTGCATTATTACTGTAGCTCATGCAATCTTTTAGTATTGTGGATTTTCCTTTCCTTTTTATGCATGCTATTCCACCTTCTCTTTCTCAGACCTCATTGATGCTTCTTTCAATGAGCCTATGTCACTGCCTGCACTTCAGAATGGTCTTAGAAAGCTTCTGATATTTTGTGCAATTCTAGTCTTTTCAATGTTGCTGAAACATCTTTGTTGTTTGGAATTCTGTTCTGTTTCATCTTCTTTTTTCAGGGGAGTTTTGAAGATACTGTGCCTCTTCTGGAGGGTCACTGTATCTTTTGGGGGCCTGGCAATGGCACTATTGTTCTGGGAAAACAATAATTTTGCTGCAGGCTGTCTTGATTTTACAGGAAACTCTGAGGCATTGCCATAGATGGTAAAGAAGCAAAACATTGCTTTCTTTTTTTTTTTTTTTAAATCTTACACACACTGCTAGTAGTGTTTGAAATGCCTTACATTAATCATCCCTTGGATTTTTACTGAGACATGGGTTTTCCTTTGCTTGAAGCAGTTGCCTGTGAATCTCACTGAACTGGCACCATGCGACTGCCTTTGCAGGGCTGCCAGCCCTCCAGTATGTGCCAAGCTTGTGCCACGCCTTTGAAAAGCAGAAGAACATATTTCCAAGTTCTGTTTCCAACTGCATTTATTTCAGTTAATAGGTAAGCTTTTATCCACAGCCTCAAACCAGTGAGATTCTTACCCCTTCGAGGCTTATGTCCAAGCATCAAAACTTACATCAGGTACAGCTGTTCAGC